GTGCTGGGGCCGGCCCCCGCGCCAAGCCCGCCCCACTGCGAAGGCGCTTCGAACGCTGCCGAAGTCCCGGCTTTGTAACAGGCACCTTTATAATAGGGCAGTCTGCCTTTCCGGAGCGCGGTAGCTTTCCCCGTCGCGTCGTCCGTGTGTATTTCTAATTTTCCTATGTTACTGTGCCGTGTGTTCAGAGGATTTGCACACACGTTGGTTTTATGGGTTTTAAAGGAGGTAAAGAATTGTGTAAGGAAGCCATAAAGCAATTATTTTATAAAAGTAACATTTAGTTTTTATTGAGTGACTCCTTACAGTGGCCCTTTTTCTATGGGTTTGTTTATTTTTGCGGTGCCGGGAATGGAATCCAGAGCCTTGCTCAGGCGAGGCACGCACTGTAACACTGAGGTTTGCACCCAGTGCCTCCCCGGTTTTTTTTTTTTTTTTTTTTTTTTGACAGGGTTTCAGAAACCACCTAGCAAGGCAAAGCTTTTTTTTTTTTTTTTTTTTTTTGTGAGACAGGGTTTCGCTACGCAGTTCAGGCTGGCCTTGAGCTCACTGTGTAGCCCAGGCTGGCCTCGAACTCCGAGCGATCCTCCTGCCTCAGCCTCTTGAGTGCTAGGATCACAGGAGTGTGCCACCACGTCCCGCCCCCTTTCTGTGTTTAAAGGAATACTAGATTTTAAAAATTAAAAAAAATAAAATCTCCTGCAATGTGTTGTGAGATGATTGCTCCTACAATATGGCTATGAGTGTATGTAAATTTACATTGCTCACTTGAATTGTAAAAGCACATTTATTGGCGTAGAGTACTTATACTAGTTTATTTTCACAGAAACAACTCCAGAAATACTATATTGTTAACGGTATAGGTGTCAGAACATGGATAATGGTGTAGAACAATGATTAGAAATGTCATTTTTAACAAGTAGTTGATAGAAAGAAAGTCCTAGATAGGAAAAAAAGAGACTTATTTCCTTCAACATGAAATTATGGTTGAGTCTTAGTAGTTGGTATTTATGATAACACTTGCAGTTGCTGCAACACCTTAGTATGTTTTCAGTGTTCATAAAATTGCACTTACGTTACAAATTGAAAAACTGAACTGTGACTTTTATGTTGCCTAGGAAGATGGATAGCAGTAGACTTAGTACTTCCTAGCAGTCTTTTCTGATTGTGTACCTTTTTAAAGCTGATTCTGTGGCTCGTAGCAAATACTGGTTTCAGTACTTTATTTACTTTGTTGTGCTTCCGAGGTGTGTGTGTGTGTTTTAATCAGTTACATTAATAGTTTGGCAGATAATCTCTACAGGGTGAGGACTGATCTTGTGTTTTCTGAATATTTAGGAAGGCTCAACTCTTCCTTAAATCTTATTACTTATTTATTTATTTTTTTGGTATTGGGAATCGAACTCAGGACCTTGAGCTTCCCAGGCAGGTGCCTGTACCACTGAGCTATATCCCCAGCCTCAACTCTTCCTTAAAACAATATATTCAGACATTATTTTGAGATGAGTACATGCATGTTATGAAAATAATTGTCCATAAAGGTTGAATGAACAAAACTAAAATCTGTATAGAAACCAGCACCATGAGCTAAGCAGAATAGGGCACTGTCATTTCTACGTTGCGCCTGATTGATGATTTGTTACTTCTTTTATGTTCCAGGATCCTAGGTTTACCTCAGAACTGTGTAGCTTGTGAAGCAATTTTAATGGTTTTCCCCTTCAGATTAGTAGTTCTGTGCAGGTCTTCTGGTGTGTGTGTGGGCGCGGGGTCCCATGGCCAGCCACACCGGGTTGTTTTGGAGCTGCGTGAAAGTAGGGTTATGGGTGTGATTGAACCACACTTAGCACAAGTTTTCCTTTCAGTTATTCTCCTGAGGAATGTAATGGAGGATTCTTTGGTTAAGAGACAGGCCTTGGGAAATGTTTGTTCATTAAAAATTGCAATTTAGTTGGAATAACCTGGAGAGGCAGCGCTTTTTTGGGGTGTAGTAGCAGTGCCCTTTTAATAGTTCGGTTCAGTGTGTTGGCTTCAAAGCTGGAATTTTGTTTGACTTTGGGCAAACAACGGCAAGGACTTCTCTGCAGGAAGATGCGGCCCGCGGGCCGGACTGGTCTCACTGGCGCTTATGGGGGCTGTGAAGTAAGCATAGTTGGACTTGTAACCGTTTCCTCTTGTTCACTCTGCAGTGCTGGGGACTGAGCCTGAGGCCTGCGCCCTGAACTACATCCCCAGCCCTGTTTGAAACAGGATCTAGTTTAAGTCACTGAATTGCCCAGGCTGGGCTTGAACTTTCAGTTCTTCTGCCTCAGCTTCCCAGAGTGCTGGGATTGTAGGTGTGCACCCTCATGCCTGGGGAGAATATTATTTTGAGATGTGAAAATTTCTTCAGATTTCAAGATCCATAAAGTTTGGTTGAAACAGAGCCACCATGTCTGTTTGCCATTGGGTGGTCTAATTGCTCCTGGGCTGTAGTGATAGAGTTGAGTGATTGTGTCGTCTGTAAGCCTACAATATTCACTGTCTGGCCCCTTTACAGGACTTCTTTGTCCCCTGGAAAATTCCTACCTTCTTTA